GCCAAACTTTAGCTTCCAAACTGAAATCATAATGACTTCTAAGCTTTCTCTTTAAATAACATGTAATGTGAATAAAACGAAAGGACGAAAATGAAATGAAAGTAAAACACAGTTACATTACGAGTGTCTTTATAGAAGTGATTAAATACATAACCCTTCCTTCACCCAATCGATGTAGCCATACATCCCACGTCTGCAGGTCAGCCCAGTGGCACTTTTAATACTTTTTTTAAGAATCACAAACAAAGTAGGGCCGTGTCACGCACTGTTAGCACGCGAGCTTAACACGCTATTTGTGGTCGATTAGACCGCAGTGGCCGAGCGACGTGGTTAAATGTTATGATTCTATTGTGTAGGCTTTTTGTAATACGTCAGATGGTAAGCTACTCCATGTCACAGAATATATCTATTATTATGATTATAAAAAATAATAGGGACATCATTATTTATTTATTTTTACATTCAACAGCCTTTTGTAGTCCACTGCTGGACATAGACCTCTCCTTAGAAAGGAGGTTTTGGCCTACTATATCACGCTAGAGTTAGTATAGAGTTCATGTCAAGTTTTCCTTCTCTTTGCAGTGCTGTTGTCCTGCGTAGTAGAGATCACTGAATAATATATCCTGTGTCGCGGGGCACTATTCAAACATACATGAAATGGACACAAAGAACACCCAGCCTCAGAACAACAATTTGTGGATCACACAAAATGTCGTCCCATGTGGGGATCGAACCCACAACAGTCAGCGGCATGGCGACCGCTACGCCATCATTTTTTTTTTTTTTTTTTTTTTAATATATCTCACACACTCACACACGGCCGTCTGATCCCAAACTAGGCAGAGCCTGTACTATGGTAACCAGACCGCTGATAAACATACTTATATATTTTTAAATACATACATATTATAGATAAATTACACCCAGACACAGAACAAATGACCGTGCTCATCACACAATATTTGTCCTGGGTGGGAATCGAACCCACGACCTCCGGTTTAGCAGTCAGGGTCACTTCATTGAGCAAGGAAATCAATAACCTACTTTTATTTGTGTTTCAACATTCTTTTTTTTTAATGGAATAGGCAAACGAACAGCCTAGCCACCTGATGCCAAGTGACTACCACCGCTCATGGAGACCTACAACTCAAGATTCACAAGTGCGTGCCGACCGTTCAGTCCCTTCTCCAGAATCAGGGGCAGCGAAGGATCAAATCAAATAATATCAAGTATATGATTGATACGATCATCATCATTATTGACACATTACACGCGCATCATGTACATTGGTTTGGTACAACTATGTACATTAACCCCAAATTATTTCCTTATTCATTATTTATATTTTTATATTTTCCGTTATATATTAGAATATAAATACTAACACAACTTACTAACAAACGAGTAATAAACTTGTATCTGAACACGCAACAATAGTTTCACTACATCATTATAGCTATAGGATCTTCACTGCTAAACATACTTATATACGTACTTTTGTCCAAAAGGCTCGTAAAAAATATGTTTTTCCTCTGCCTTCATTCAAGGAACTTTTCCAGCTATGACCAGTTCTCAGATCGCAACGGATGTTTTGCGCTAACTTCTCATTTTCAAACTGCTTCTTACAAGCCTTGTTTCAAATTAAATTACTGTTGTAACATCACTACTTTAGTAGATTCGCGTCACAATGGTACATTGCCCTATGTACATACTCAGTTAAATAGTCATTGCTTTGCTGTCTGCAATACTGTAATGTATATAATATGTTCTGATTATATAATAACATAATACGAGTCAAGATGATTATTTATTAAAACCACAACCTAAAGTCGTAGAAGAATATAACGATTAAATTAGGTAAAACTAAATTCTCTGCAATTGGAAAACCTACTTAGTTACTTAAAGTATTTAAAAAACATATAAAGGACATCTCCCGCACTAGTAGTATATTGATTTTACAAAGTCATGAAAAGGACACAAAGAACACCCAGACTCAGAAAAACAATTTGTGTACTACACAAAGTGTTCTCCCATGTGGGGATCGAACCCACAACACTCAGCTTAGCAGCAAGCAACGAGGTGACCTCTTCAAACTACGCCATCCGTGTAGTCAGAAGCATTTTTTGAGGACACAGTTTTAGACTCATTTTGCATTACCCGTAGTCAACAGCGAATGGTGGAAATTTCTTACACACTCTTAGACGTTCACAGACTTCACTGGCGTTATATTAGTATTATATACAAACCTGTTCAAATGATTGAAAAAGTTATATAATATGTACAAGTATACATTGTATTGTCTTATATAAACGTTTAATTTTCTCTAAGACATCAGAATTGGTTTTGAGAATTAAACATAAAATTTTAAAAAATTACTAACAATTTTGTCAAAACCGTTTGTAAAATCACCTACCTGAGTTACAAACATCTACGGACGGACCCAAACATGTATATAAAATATAAATTATTTTTTTTAGAAAAATAAATACAAATAATGGCTCCACCTACATGACAATCAAAATCGCTCCAACAGTTAGGGAGGTCTGTGAGGTATGACGCAGAGAAGAATTTAATTATACGAAGATAAATAAAAATGAGCTGGACCAATTGAGCTCATATTATTATAATTTTTTTTAAGAAAGATAACCTTATTAAAGAATAAAATCGGAGAATATTTCACATTTGGATACATTTACCTCATTGCATCTAAATCGGTTTAGCGGTTTAAGCGTGAAGAGGTAACAAACAGACAGACAGACACACTTTCGCATTTCTAGTATTAGTATGGATTTGAATAAGATATGAGCGTCATTTTACCCCACTGCGCCACAAAGAGCCTAATGGTTTTACGCATGTATGTATGTGTTTTGCTAAACGGCTTGATGGTTTTTGACGTTTTACTTATCATTAGATTCGTCTTAATTGCTATTTTTAATTTAATAAAGTGATAATATGCGACACTGGGTATATATAAAATTATAAAAACTAGATCACAAATTGTAAGTATAGGTACATTTTTTTAAAATGTTTACTAGCAACCGGTATTACTAGTATTCCCGTTAACATTACATTTTCATGCAACGTGTTCTTTTTTTAAATAATAAGCATGTTTATTTTAAATAATCTTCTTTAATAATTTTCCCGAAAAGTCTTAGGTAAAACAATCAAATTCTGACCGATGGAAATTCCTATTGCATGTATTGTATTGCTAACAATATTTTTTTACTTCTAATATTTAACGCCTATTATGAATACCTTGGACGGGCTTTTTTAAAGAATCTGATGGACATTGTTTTTTTTAAGGCACAGGGTTGTCAAATATGGTATCTATACTAATGTTAGAAAGCTGAAGAGTTTGTTTGTTTGTTTAGTTGAGTGCTAATCTGAAGAACTACTCATCCGGTTTGAAAAATTCTTCAGTATTAGACAGCCCATTTATCGAGGAAGGCTATATACCATTTATAGCTATATACCATCACGCTACGACTAATAGGAGCGGAGTATCAATGAAAAATATTGCAAAATGAAGGCAAATTATTCCTTTAAAGAGCTTCCGTTGCGTGTGCTGCGTAAATGGTTAAAGTAACGCAAAAATCATGTGAAACAGAACTGTTCTCCTTCAAAAATAAAATAAATAGTCCTTAACAGCATATGCCTATCTTTTAAGGTTGGCTCACTATAATTTTATTTTAATACTAATTGTTCTTAAATAATGCATTATTTGCGAAGGTGTTTTTATATTATTATATTAATTAATTATTCGAAATACATTCAATCATAGTCAACTATTTACCGCGAGAACCGACGGAGCCGCGGAGAAAAGCTAGTAATAATATAAAAATGTTACATAATGTTACAGAAAGTTATGTTTTTAGTTATTTCTATACCTTAGGAAAAACTTCTTTCTTATTGTTAGGTAATCTAGAACGTTTTTATATTCCTATACAAAATTTCATGATGATGGGCGTCACAGACAAACTCACATTCATATTTATGAGGTTAATGTATACTTAGGGTTAAAGTTATTTCACAGTATTATTTTTATAATATAAATGATTTATATTATTTTCAAACTACGACAACAGTCTTTGTTATTTGTACTTATTTGTAATCATTTATTTCATAAAATTGCATATTTTAAGTTGTGTTGAAATACAATTATCTTAGCCTAATTTAATAGTAAAAACCAAAAGAACATTCATGAAATAATAAATTATAATAACAATACAAGCAACGAAACAAATGATAAAATAATTTGAATTTTAGACAGGCAAAAATATTAACTCATTAAAATATCAAAGTACAAATTAATTATGATATTATTTCAAGAGGTATAAATATTAAGTAGGTTAAATGATTACACTGTCAAAGCAAATTATTTTATTTTTTCTTGATTTTCATCAATGACGTTGCGAGAAAGATAAAAATATGCTACGTAGCTAGTTCGTAGCTATGACGTAGAATCGTAGTGGATATGGTAGCATCCGCCTACGGGATTGAGCTGTGCGTTGGTAAAGTACAAAGCTCACTATTGAAAGTTAGACTTTATGCAGATATTTATAGAAAATATTTTGAAGTTAATATTTATTGTATTGCGTTATTTCAAATACTTATTTTTTAACGTTTTATTTATACCATAAAAGGAACAAGTAAATATGCGACTCGCAACGCGTTCGGAAAAAATAATTTTCAAATAATTTGTTATTACGATAAAGTAATTTCTGTAGTTCTAGGGTACGTGACAGAAGTAATCCGAGCTACAACATGTAGTAGAATGTCAGTAAAGGCAAAGGATCAATAGTAACTTTTAAATCGACTTTGTGACCTAGAAAACGTCTGGATCGCGTTTTCGACGGTAAAGCGTTGACCGCATCGTATTCGATTGAGTTAACTTTTTACTTTCACGAAACGTACGCGTCGTGGAGCGAATCGATAGGGTGTGCGGCCGCCGCGGCTGCAGGCAGCGGCACGACAATTATTGTGCCGGCGGTAACGCGAATTTAGGGCAGCGAAACGCGGCGGCGCGGGCGTAGCGGGGCGGCCGGGCCAGTCCGCGACGCGCCCCGCGCCGGCCGCTCGTGTCCGCGTGTGCCGAGCCGCTCCCCCGCGCCATGCGCACGACGCGCGGCGCTCGCATGCTCGCGCCGCCGCGCGCCACCGCCACCGCCACCGCCGGCGACGCGCTCGCGTGCTACCCCACGCCCGCCTAACTCGCTAGGACTCATGAACATGTTGCGACTATTGTGTAAACCCAATCACAGGTGAGCATTTTTCGGGTGAAACTTTCAAGTTTTAATGTGAAATCGATTGAACTTTCGTTGCTCCGTGAGGTCGATATTTGTCGGTGAGTCGAGTTAATGATACATTATTTATTACCGGTATTTGGACTGTTATACTTCCTAATAATAGATTTTGGACAGCCGGCCTTCGCGTGGAGGGCTGACGCGGAGGTATGATTCTGAAGTTTTTAAGCACGAGGTGTATGAAAATGTGATGATAACTACCCTTTAATAGTGCAGATCAATGGCTACAGCAGTAGTTATGGTACATGAGTAAGCGCATATTTTCTCTGATAGTACAATGAGAAATTCGCGGGTACGCACTCCGGCTAAAGGTAAAAGGTCAAGACGTCTGGACTAAGTTTGTTTCATCTTAGTACTGCAGATGTAATTTCACTGAATAATTTATTAAGGAACGAATTATTAAACTAACAAATACCTACTAATATAAGAGTCGTATTAATTACAATAAAAACCTTTTAGTTATTTAAATAAAACAATGATGTTAGTACTTTTCGAACAAACTACAAGCTTCTATTTTTCAAAAGTTTTTACAGTCGTCGAACATTTAAGAGTAGAGTAGATAACTTTATCTTGGAGTGTGTGTATGTTAACAACAGAGCATTCAATGTAGTTGTAGCTAAATACGTTTTGCAAAATAAGCGTTTACTTATCACAATGATTTTATTAACAATATGACAAACCTTGTTAAATATAGTTCTTTAGTCTCTATTAGTAAGGTGGGTTAGTCGTGAAACTTATTTAACTTTGATCTCAAGGGACCTATATTTTTATTACTTATAAAAATGTTTCATTTACCCAGTTACACAAATAGGCAGGTTTCGAAGGTCAGTTACATTTGGTCCTACTAAGAGGACGATAAACACTGTTTTCCGTTTATAAAGGTAACAAAAACTCCTTAGATATTACTGAAAAAAGTAGAACATGCTGGAGAAAATCATTAAAACAAAGTATCTTAATAATACCTTTCATTCTACCTCTGTTATTGAGATATATAATTATTTTTTATGTAAAGGTATTACATAAAAATAAAATAAATTATTACATATATGTGTCAACAACAGGGGTACAATGAGATGAAAGTTAGTTTAGAGTTTAGTAGCAGTTGAAATCTCATTACAATGGGATTTAGAATAGATTAGATTTAGATTGAGAAACTCAGTAGTAGAGGTGCCTCGTATGTTCCGGGCCCACTTAACCAGGTTTCACTGTAGTCTGCACGAATGGCGTAGTGGTTTAAGCGGTCGTCTCGCCGCTTCCTGCTGCGCTGAGTGTTGTGGGTTCGATCCCCACATAGGACAACGCTTTGTGTGATCCACAAATTGTTGTTCGGATTGTGTGTTTTGTGTGTCATATATGTTTGTACAGTCAGTTAGAGAGTAAAATACGTTAACCCTTTTGAGTATTATTTAAAATATTTTACCAAGCTCCAGTGACTCTTCAATGTCATCTAATCACACCAAACTACGGATACGGTCACTCTTAATCCTACATCGCACAATAAAAGCTTTCACGCCGATTACAATAACCACCTATAACATTACAACTTTCCAATATCAACTGCTATACCGTGGTTCATCAAGTATCGTCATCCAGTAACATTACAATAAAACCATTAACTTTTGTTAGGAGTACATGGAAATTGTTAGTAAAATCAATTGTACCTCCACTACAGTTGTACTGTATGAATATGCAAAACTAAAGCGTATTGCACGAATTTAAATTTTCCGTACAAGCTTATGTGCCAAACATACCCTCAGTAGCTTCGTACAAAGCGCTACCAAAACCACACACACGGACTAAATGAACTTATATACCGCTCTTTCTATTTCCGAGAATGTTATTTGCAACTGTTTGTTTGTGAACTTAGGATTCAGAGCTTTGGAAAATAAGAGTTCAGTTGAAGTAATTTTAAACAATTTTTTTTTATTGGACATAAAATAAAACATCATATACAAGCAAGAAATATTACATGTACTAATCAATAGCTGAGTTTTCTTCCAGTAAACTACATTAAAAACAGTATAATTAAGATTATTATTTCTCTTTATTGACCTTAAAATGATACGTTCTATATAAATTTGTATAAAACAAAAAGCTGTGGCGTCATTCTTTGTTATCGTCAAATCAATAATATCATACACTTAACAAACTGACAAAATAAGAACGTATCAAATTTTTCATAGCGTAATAGAAAATTTTATATATACTAAAGCTTGAAGCTACCACCTTAATATTTCATTTATAATGTTTAGTTAAGAAGAAAAACAAAAAATAGCCAATTGGATTTAACCGACGAAGTTGGAAAGTTAACAAATCATTCTTTGTTTATTCTTAAATTTAGCTCAAATATTTTCCTTTATAACACTTTCAGTGAGTTGCTGATTGAAATAACAGCATTAACTCCAATCTAAACATGAGTTTGAGCAAAGCAGAGTAGTACAAAGTATTTTTGTACTACTTTACTTTACGATAATTGTTATATTGAAAAATGATAGATTATCGATTTTATTTATGTTTAAAAAATTTAATTAGTTTAAGATTTGTTCTTGAATACGTTGATATGTATTTTTTTCTGTTTTCTTTATTATTTTCTTATTCAAAACTATTTCAATTGAAACATTACTCATACCTGCTGCTGTTTAATTTTGTGTACTCATACATATTTAACAGGCCTTCCTTTCAAATAAAAAATATCAATATCAATTTGCAAATAAAAATATTTTGATCCAAAGTTTTCATTGTATAGAAATTTATAGCTCCGATTGAAGTAGAATATTAACCATCCAACGAACAAGTGAGGTCAATAATTAATTAAACTTTAACAAAAATGTTTTCAGTAAGAATTCTGAATAGGAAATTGTGATCTGGATTCCTCGTGGCGTTTTAGATTACGGCAACTTGCAAACATTGCTGGCAAAGCTGTAATGTGGGGTCGGACAAACGGTTACAATTCCCTGTAATGCGGTCTTTGGACCGCCTAAATTGCTTGTCAAGAAACTATAACATCTATGTTTTAACCCACGAGTGAGGATGTAAGTTACTGATTTGATGTTATTTAAAATTTAGTTTAAATTCAGAATTTGTCGATTTTACATCTCGTGGCAAATGTTTGGTTGATTTATGTTTAATTTTGCATTCGATATTGAGATTCTATATTCGTTTCGGATAGAGCAATTTTTATTTGGTTATTATGTTAAGTTACTATGGAAAGACAATACTGAGATTCTACTGGTGTAGCGGTTACTAATCAAAACTTACTAATCAAAGTCAAAGGTCGTAGGTTCGATTCCTACTCAAGACAAATAATTGTGAGATGAGCACTATCATTTGTTCTGAGTTTTGTTGTAATTTTTCTAGAATAATATGAATTTAGTTAAATATAAGTATATTTATTACCGCAAACATGAAAGAACTGCAGCAATAATTTACGTTATGTATAAGTAGATTTTAAAAATGAAGAATAATTAAAAAAATTAAATCCGAGTATCAACCTGTACATTAATATGGGGGTACATAAATAGGGGTTAAAGTATGAAATTGCCGTTGTATAGTAATAGATATTTTGAATTGACATAAAACCTTCATGGTGTGATATTTTCGTGTGAAACTTTTTAACATTGTAGCTATGAGGTTCTTTTTTAAAAAAATGTGCAACATTCGATTTTCGACTTTCAATTGTTTTTTTTAAGCGAAAAATGCAATGGTTGATCCAAGGTAAAACGCCGCAATGGTTGATCCGCACCAGGAGCGGGCTGGCGCTAGGAGGGGTCCGGATGTCTTAATAACAGCTGTTCCCGGATCCCTCCTCTTACAGGCGCAGAGTGGCACACCGTGTGGTTTTAGTCGGTCCGAGTCCGACACACCACCCCGCCGCAAACCCCGGTGGGGTGACGGTTCGAGGGGATTTCCACACGTTAAAAAAAAAAAAAAAAGTAAAAAGGGTTGGTATAGCTTTTTCAGGTCTGGTCAAGCAATAAAAGCAGATGTTTACTGTGCCGAACTTCGAACAATGATGGCGAAACTGGCAGTGATAAAGCCCTGACTCTTGAATCGATTTTCACCATTATCGCTCCATGATAACGCAATACCTCACGCACGAGAAACCATTGTAACTCTACAGGGGGTACAGTTAGAAACCATACGTCATCCTTCATACTCGCCAGACCTTGCTCCAACGGACTACCATTTTTTCGTGAATAGGACAATTTTCTACGTGATAAAAAATCATCTGGGAAGATTTGTTGAATCTAGATGCCCAGAGTTCTATGGTAAAGGCATAAATGAACTTAGATGGCAGCAATGTATAGATAATGAGGGTAAATATTTTGATTAAATAAATGTGTTACATCTTAGAAAAAAACGAGTTTAATTTTTTTAATACAAGTCGGCAATTTCATACTTTGACCCCTAATAAGTGGCGACATACTTCTGACTGACATAAACTAGAATCTCTCTTAAACCCAGAAAACCTGGGCAAAGGAACCTTAATTACAGTAACCCTTTTAAAATCTTTCACGTTCCGTCCGTTGTCCCTATCCCTTTTCGTAAATCGTGCTGCTCAATCAACGCAATGATATATAATACCTATTTTACTTATATTTTAAGCAAATTTAACGATTGTTGAACTGTTGTTATATGCTATCACATAAAGATAAATTGATTTGTATTTTTATTACCTAGTGCCCTTGGTAAGACTGTGACGTATATCAGGACTACGACGTATGGGAAAGTATTTCTAAAACGAAGTAAAGTTAACATGTTTCTTTCGGAAATAGCAGTCAATAATCTTCCGGAATTGATTTTCGAGATGGAAGAGCTTTAATCAAATCAGACTTTCAAAATGAAATTATTTTTTACATAGCTATCGAATCCCTACCTGTTGTAGACATCATATCAGGTGTTTATAGCCCATTCCCTCGATTTAATGC